TGAAGCACTTGAATCACACTGTTTAGATGCACTTTGTATAACATCTGCAATGCATATCATGATAATAGGAAGGAACATTTACTGCTTTAGTTGATATGAAGCAATGACGGTTCATCATGTTTAATCCGATCACATCGTGTATCATCAGCTCAGCTGTGACAGAGATTCTCCTGATTTGTATTCAGCAACAGTGGACTCATTGTTTTTGTCAGAAGGTAATGAGCAAGAGAACAAAGCCCACCAGTGATCGCTTCTCGTTTACTTTTTTATCAAATCGTACTCTTCTTGCCAAAAATTCATTTAATTAAAAGTGCTAATCTTTCAGCTTATGCCTCCAGGTAGACATGGAGATATGAAGTGACACGTAAGGCATTCCCCACCCCCACCACAGATTCTCTTCTAGCTCAGAGCAGCTTCTAGCTTGGGTTGGCTCAGCAGCTCTCGGCAGCAGGTTGGACGAGCAGGAAGTATGGATGGATGAATGGAAGGAGTTTAGGAGATGTGCTAGATGTGGTGAGTTGGGTCAATTATGGCTGGGCAGCGAAGTGAGCGACTTCCCCTCGCTTCCATCTTTAAGTCAAACATCGACTCGGCTCCCCATCCATTGGGCACCGTCATTTTAACCAAAAATAACACTTAAATTACCAGTTGGATGGCTGGCTGCCTGCCTGGCAGGGATTTCTGTCATTTCCAATGTAATTAGGGTGTAAGAGGAGCCAGAAGAGAGCCTGGCGCCAGGCTGAATAATACAGGCGAGGTGTAGGAGCACTGATGGATAATTTAACATGACTGTCCAGAAGTCAGCTACATTTTGCAGTACCTGAGTGCACTGCAGAAAAAATGTGTCATGTGTTCTTAAGTGAAAAATGTTAAAACAGACCGTCAGATTTCCATAATAATAATAAATCTTTGTTTACTTCTTGTTGTAGAAAAATGCTTTTATCTCTGATGAATTATGTGCAATGCTCAGCGGAGAGCACCGGAGACAGAATTACTATTCATAGCATTCATATGAAATGATAAGTTTGCTGATAAGCTGCATTTTGCTTATTTATGTGTATCCCTCCTCCCCCGCAGATAATTTTCCGCAAGATCAGTGAGGTGAAGAAGGAGGAGGAGGAGAGACAGCGAGCGAAGAACGAGGTACAGCTCACCATCCCACAGGACCATCCTGTCCGGAAGCTTTTCCAGAAGTTCAAGCAGCAGAAGGAGCTCCGCAACCAAGGAGCCGCAGCTGCCTCGCAACTAGACCTGGAGAAGAACCAGCTGCAGGTGGAGCACCACCAGCACCTGCATCCCCACACCCTGCAGCTCGGCCACTCCAGTCTGCAGCACTCCCTGCCGCTCACCCTGCAGCGGCCCCTCACCTCCATGCAGAACGGGGCTCCACCCAGCAGCAGCGTTCTGACTGTGTCTCAGGTCACACCCATGCAGAGCTCTCTGGCTTACGGCCATCCCAGCGAGGCACCTGCAAAGCAGAACAACTGTGACATCATGGAGCTGCAGCCCAGTTCTGCTGGAGGGGGCAGCGAGCAAACTGTCAGGCTCAAAGTCAGCACCAGCCCTGCGCTTGGAAAGCCGGCCGCCAAGGCGAGTGGCTGGATGCGCCTCAAAAACAACATGGCCCCGGCGGAGACGAGGAAGGAGGGTCTTAACAACAATGTCAAGGCTGTTTCCGTGGAGATGCTCTCTCAGGACGGTAAAGGTCGGGAAACAGGGGGGAGCAGGGACGGAGAGGAAGGTGGGGTCTCCAGCAACAACCCACTTCGCAAGACGGACTCCTGTGACAGTGGAATCACTAAGAGCGAGCTGCGCATCGACCGGGCAGGGGAGCCGCGGACCCCAGCGGCAGTTACCCCACTTCTCCACAGCCCTCTTCCCGGAGGAGTAGGGTCCCCTCACTCTTTCTGCCCCATACCGGAACAGGCCCTGCAGGCTGCATTGCACGAGACCCGGATGGAGCTCCGGGGGGACATCCAGACTCTGGGAGGCCGTCTGGGCGCCCTGGAGAGTCAGGTAGCTGAAATTATCAAACTGCTGTCGGATAAGAGACAGCCGTCCACGGGGGCGCCACCTGCCTCCGCCACACCCAAAACCAAAATACAACGGCAAGACATTTTCACCGTCTCCAGGCCCGTTTCTCCAGACTCAGAGAAAGACGACGGGCTCTGAAGAGAGCTGAACCAGCGGTGCAGAGTGCGCATTGGACTAACAGAGATTATATTAACATTAGCTCTATCAATTCAAGGTTACTCTCATTTTTGGGCATCCTCGTGGACTCTCGTACACCGCTGGTCTCAATTCCAAATTGAAAAACAAAAACTGGCTTCTTGTTTGCACACTGATTTTTTTTTGTCTCCAGGTGATGTGAGAGTCTTTACTCTCCAGTCGCCCGGACTCTGTTTTCTTTTTGATTGTACATACCTCTCTATGCATGTCCAGCTGGATTCTGGCCTGCCAAAGAAACAACTACTAAACGTACTTATTGCCTGTATATTATGCAGTTGACTGCATGCAAATAAGATTCAAAGAGACATTTTATTGAGCTACACTGTACATATAAATATTTTTCATTGATGAATTTACTATGTGGACATTCAGGGTTTGCATACTAGTAGCACTATAAACATTGAATATCTCAAAGGGTTTACAGGCAGATGGATTGTGCATGGATTATTTATACATAGAGAAGTTATAAGGGGACAGAGGTTTTGTTTCATTTCTTTTGCCTGTCAGATGAAGCAGATGTGTGATTCTGTTCTCACGCCACAGAGATGCTCGGATGTGAGGATCAGCATCTGTTAAAACAGGGAGGGGAATTTCTGATATGTTTTTCTAATATATATATATATATATAATAATAATAATAATGATCGTTGATTTCTATTTTTGATTACAGAAATGCCCTTGGCCTCAGTTTGATATCTGGTAAACCCTGAAAACTGCTTGTTTTGTTTGAGCCCTCCTTGTGTCTATGCATCACTCGGGTACGCTGCCAGAATATTGTACCTTTGTAATCTCGTTAATGAATGATGTTTTTTGTTTCGTTTTCTTTGGGGTCTTTTGTTCCATTCCTCTGCATGAATCAGGGATGGCAGAATGCACTTTTGGGTAAAGTTGGGGTGACAAGAAGGCTTTGGGGAAATAACACAGTTCACGCAAAAGTCCACTCAGCACAGTGACATGTAATCCCACGGCCCCAGCAACACACACGGCAGTCTTAACCAGCTAGCGTCTCTCTGAAGTCGGCTCTGAATTCCATTAAGCAGCAACAGCTTTGCCTCAAAGCTAGCAAGTCATCAAAATGGAATAGCGTACTTTCTATGATATAATTTTTTGTAAAAAATCTGCATGTGAAGGAGCAGTTTTATGCTCCGCAGTGCTTACAAATACACGTGTGAGAAGTGACACATTTGCTTCGTGCATACACATGCAGTGTGAAGGCGTCTCGTGGCGTGAACCCTGAAGGCTCGCAAAGACCTTTTCTTCACACAAGGCAGATCAGTTGGTTTGTCAGGAGTCACAGTCTTTTCAGGTCCTCTGTGAATTGGACAATGTCCCTCCTCCTACCAGCGCTCATTCCCTGAAAAAAAAAAACACACACACACTCTCAGAATCATATTTAATAAGACAATGATAAGAACACAAATGTACAGTAGCCATCATGAAAGTTTTATAAACATTTAATTATTTTCTGGTGGTTATATCAAATGAATAGCTGAATGAATAGTAAGTTAAATAGTTAACAGTAGTAAATATGCCAAAAAGTAAAGAATTAGATTCAAAACTGAGGATTTTGCAGTTTGTCCTCTGCACAGTGAATGGTTTGGTTTAAACACAAGAACCTGTTTTGATGCTGCTGCAAAGTATCTTCTAACAAGCACTTGGCGACAGTAGGAAGGAAAAACTCCCTTTTAGCAGGAAGAAACCTCTGGATGTTGCTTCCTCTGCCCAGGGAGCGACAGCCATCTGCTGCGACCAGTTGGGAGTGAAGGGAGGGCGACAGGACAAAAAAAGAGATACTCCATTATAGGTTTTTGTCAAAAGAGTGGATGGGTGTGGAAACTGCTTCTGCAAGAAATCTAATGACATAAAAAGAAACACTTTTTAACCCTATGCTATAACCTTCCAAGCATTCAGTCAATCCAGGCTTTGTTGACCCAAGGTTTTCAAATAGGGTTGAAAGGGATTCATGGTTATGTCATACAAGTTCTCTTGTAGATGTCCTGCTGCTGAAGGCTAAATCAGTCATTAGAGGGAACCTGCATGCAGTTATTTCTATATCATATTAAAATCAATCCTCTCAATATTTAGCCTCGCTTTACATCTTTGCTGAGCTTCTGATAAGCATAGATAATCTCTATCATCTCCCATGTGAACAAATAGGAGTACAAACCCTAAAGATGTCTTCCAGGAGGCTGTTAGGAACAAGTCTTACCTCTTTGGATTCACATTAACCAGACTAATGCGTCATATTGAACTTGATTGACTATCAGAATGTCACACTGCTGATCCAGGAAATCTACAGACAAGACAAATTAGTAGCTTAGGCAACACCAAGGAGATACATCTAAACGCAAGTTCCAAAGTCTAGAAAGTGGTGAAATGTAATCAATTGTTACTCTATGGATGAATGTACACTGCTTGACCAATAGTGACCAATAGAATTCTAACAAATCAGAACCTAGATGCCTTTCAGTGGTGCTATTGGCACCATGTCTTCTTTCTGTTCTCACACCTCATCTCTGCCCCCTTTGCGTGCCGTTAGGATTCACAGCAGAAATTTAAACCATCATGACTACACAAACTGATCTAGTGACCATTTTAAAAGACATATATTGTGCTGTCTGATCTTGACTGACACCCATACTTGAAAAAGAATAAATTAAGGGATGTTTTGCTATAATTTTAATGAGCCCAGTTACAACTCTTGATTTTTATTCTGGAGAAACTTTTGGTGCAGCAAAAACGAAGCATTTATTCTGAATGTTCCTGCCATTTCTCGTGATTACAGGTGTGAAGGCTCATTCAGATTCATTTCTCTCCGTTCTCTACAGGCAGAAAAATAATGAGAAATTATAACTTTATGATGCTAATTGGCATAAAATCACAGTAGTCCGAGTTAGACATTAGATTTCTGTCACGACATGCTAATCAAGTTGTTCAATTTGGAAAGAATACAGTTTTAATGGCTGCAGTTATGCAAATGACAACTTTTAATTTCAATTGGAAATTCATCCTGTCAGCACAGGCCCATTCCCTCTACCAACATCTTTTTTTACACTCACACTTGGTCACTTGCCACGGTGGGCCATATACTCTGTGCTTCAGGCCGCTGAGCAGATCCCCTGCTGGAATCAGCAGCAAGTGCCTTGCTTAGGGGAAATGCAGCAGCATTTTCAGTCAACTTGGCTCCAGTGATTGTTGCAGAAATCATCTTCAATGATGGCTCCCGATGTATGTGTGTAGTGCAAAACATGCCAGTGTGCTTCACGTCACTTAACAGAGTCAATATCACGCAAAGCTATTCAAACAATTGAACCCTAAGGTTTCTTCTTTCTTCTGCAATGTGATTGGTCATAGTGATGATAGATAGGTAAGCCAGGATTAGAGTAATTATTCAAAGTATATCCATCAGGGGGTTTTCACATTGATCTCTTGCTTCACCTTTGGACAAGAGATCTTGAAAACAATCTTCTCTCAAGCTAAATGCTACATTCCACATATTGGCTTGCATATATTCAAAGTTCTCCAACTGAAGCTGTGAAATTCAGTTTAAGATCTGGTTTTGTTCACACTTTGCACTGTGCACGGTGAGACCTACCAAACAAGCTTATGTAGCCACAGTAACATAGTACAAGACAAAAATACAAAGCGGTCTTTAATGTTTGTGGATCTGCAGATGGTAGTGTGTGAGAGGGTTTTGTAGTTTGACCAACTGGGCATGACTCACTGTGGCTTTACCCCCGACCATACGCTCAGCTACCAACAAAGACTCTTCTATGGAAATGTTAAAAGCGTTTTGGGAAACTAGGAAATCACTTACTGACACAGCAGGAGGAGGAGTGAGTGCAGCAGTAAAATTAATTACTTAATAGCTCTCAGAAAGTACCAAACATCCCAGACTTTTTCTCTTCTTAAGTCTAGGGAGAATCTGAAAGACGTGTTTTGTCGGATGTTATCATATTAGAATTTATAACAAAAATAAAACCACAATACAAGACAAACTCCTTAGAAACATTTTAAGACATTTAAAGGATCATTTCTTTACATTTGTGGCTTTGGAGGAGTCTAATATGTTTTCACAAAAAGACATGAGATCAATGCCACATACTCGTGCTTGGAGTATATCATATGCTGTTTTTCTCTACCTGACGGAAAGATTTTCCTCACAAACAAATACAGCACGTGCTAAAAAAGAGAATTAGAGTACTTCCTTAACCTAAAAGTATCACATTAGGGTCAACTTTTCACCCAGAACATCACCTATAATTGATTCAAAAATGTCTTCTTAAAATTATTCAGTGCAGTAAAATATGTGTTAGAATAAATATCCATCAAGCAAAGAGTACAACGTGTCAAACATGGAACTAAAATGTGTATTTTTATTTTAAAAAAACCACATTATTCATACCCCAAATAAACAACTTGGTTTCATTTATAGCTGACTTGTTCAGGATCTCTTGCTGTCACTAAGTAGCATTGCTTTTCAATGCGAGGGGTTAAAGAATGTATTTTATGAACACTTAAATGCCACTTTTTTAGATACACTTGTTCAACTGCTTATTAACAAAATATCTAATCAGCCAAACACATGGCGGATCCTCAATGCGTGTAGGCACATAGGCATGGTCAAGGCGACCATCTGAAGCTCAAAGTGAGCATCAGAATAAGAAAGAAAGGTGATTTAAGTGAGTTTGATAGTGACGTGTTTGTTGGTGCTAGACGCGCAGGTCTGAGGCTTTCAGAAACTGCTGATCTACTGAAAGTTTCCCACATAGCCATTACTAGAGTTTGCTGATGAGAGAAAAGGGTGTAGGGGGTATTTTCTTTGCACATTTTGGGCCCTTTAGTATGAATATAGCATCATGTTAATGTCAGCACCCTACCTGTGTTGTTGCTGACTGCATCCCTTTATGATCAGTGTAGCCATCTCCTGACGGCTGCAGGATAACGCGCTATGTCACAAAGCTAAAGAAAATTGAAGATGATCTCAAACTGCTCTGGTGAACGCAACAGTGAGTTCATTGTACTCAAACGGCCTCCACAGTCATGTTTGTACTCGTTCCAAATGGAGTTCAAATTAAAATAAACAGTGTCATTAAAGTTTAGCTTTACCAGGAAGAGAATGTGTGAGTCATAGTGGTCAGAGTGTCAACCCAAACCGCTGCAAAAGTGCTAATCAGATCAACCCACCATGAAGGTTTCCTTTTGTAATTGTTCATTAAAAATCATGTATTGGTCGATGTGTTCTCTATAAACAGACACATATTGACTTTTTATAGTCTCCTTATAGTCCAGATACTACAGACCTACTGAGGGTCTGAGCACAGTCTGGTTTTATGCAGGTAAACATGGAGTCAACAGCATAAGATGAGCTGCATCTTAAATGCACCTTAAATGCAGTTTAGAAACCATCAGCTGCCATTTAATGATGGTTTTGCTTTTTGCAAGTTCTTAAAAACGTACTTGCATTCTGTAAACAATGCAAACAACGATCAGCAGACGGAACAGGAAGTCTCGGCCTGGATGCAAATCTCAAAATATTGGTTTCCCATTGGTTGTCTGTTTTTCACGCAGCAGCAAGTCTTAAGACAAGACTGTGAGCACCTTGGAAGTGCTAAGTAAGATCAAGTTTGAAGAAGTAACCCTAAATTTTGCATTAGCAATACTGCTATTCTGTCCTCAGACATAAAAGTCATCCCCTGAGTAGTTGCAGTACATGATGAGGTGCAGGACAGGGGGCTCACAGGAGAACTTGCAGCACTGGACTGAGTTTGAGAGCTTTCCTGTCAGCGAATTTACCTGAAACTTTACGGCTTGTCTGAGGAGAAACAGCAGCGTCCTCGTCCTCGGCTTTATTAATTTGACAAGCGAGTGAAGGGCAACTCTGTGATCTGAGGCCTATATACACGCAGACACACACACCTACACACACACCTTTCAGCACAGGATTTTTCGGCTTTGCCGCTTGAATGTACAAACCCCCCTCCAACCCCACCCCCACTCCAAATACTGTCCCTTCCCTGTGCTCTGAGAATTTCTCCTGGAGTAGGGATGGAAGTTTTTCCCTTCTCTCTTCTTTTCTTTTATTTCTGAAAAAAATATTTTGCTTTTTTCTACTTTTTGGAAGCTTTTCTGTGTCTTTTGCCTTGAACCTGATAGGAAGTCCTGCTCTGTCTCACTTCTTTTTCCTATGAGCACCTTGTTTTTTTAGTTTTATTATTTATTTATTTATGTTTTGTCATTTTAGGTCTCCTCCACCTTCACCCTTCTGATCCTCCATTCTCTCTCCCTTCTCAATGATCCCCACTCACATAACTGCAACTGCTCCCTTAAGCATGTTGATGAAGCACCGTCTTCTTTGTCGTGCCAACTGACTGACTGACTGATGGGCGGGCAGGACAGAGGGGCCTCATTTATTAAAATTATCCTTTGGTTTGTATTCAATTCTGCATAGTGCATCCGAGATGACTCGAAAAGAAATGGAAGTCATTTCTCAGAGAGTGATAGAATTGTTTTTTATCTTTTCACTTATGGACACAACCTGCAGACTTTTTTCACCTAAATTAATTTTTCATCAATCTCACCTTTAGCTCAAACTTTGGATCAATTTAATAAATGGGGCCCACTAGAAAAGCTTTTCTATTTTTTTTTCTGCTGGAATGTTTTCAATTTCTACTGTATTGTTGAAGCAGTGGTATGACACAGCACTGGATTCCCACACTGACTCATGTATTGTTTTGCAGTTGCACACCTAAACTGTAGTGTCAGAATAATAAACATCCGTCTGGGATACTCTCGCTGGGCTTCCTGTCTGGTTCTCTGTTTTCAGTGAGAGCTTCCTTTGCACTCATCTTCCAAAACAAGCATTAATGAATCAATGATCTTTTGCTTTTTGACACCTAAAAGGAGTTCAAAGAACCTTATTGAGCCGTGGTGGCTAAAAGCATATAAAAGATTAATTGTTTTCCTAAAACTGTTTGAATGTCTTTTTACCCATGTTAAAGTCAAAGCCACTTCCCCACTACCTTAGCAAGACTCAGACAGATTTCATGAAACTAGGCAGAGAGGGGTGGCATGAGAAAAGGAATGATTAAAATACACTTTGTGGATAAAGGTTCTGGGCTACCTGCTGTACACATACTGTACTGAGGCGTGTATGCACTGCACTCACTTTACGTAAGTTTCCGAGGTCTGAGTTCCTGTAACTTTCATTTCCATATCTGTGACGACGGTGTGGTCCCTGGCTCAGCTGCAGGGAAGGGTTGGTGCAGTGAGCTCAAGAGGCAGAGCCAGGCAGGTGGGTCAACATGGGGTGATGATGGAGCTGTTTTTAGTGGCGCTGGAGTGGAGAGGAATGAGGTCAGAAAGTGTACACAATGCTGGGGAAGAGCAGCAGTGGGACGTGTGCCGAACCCATGTCCGGGGGAACACCAAAACGTTCCTGGGCCAGCCAGCGTGTCCTGGGTCTGTCCCACCGCTTCCTGGTGGGACATGCCCGGAACACCTCAAGCAAGGACGCATGCTTGTCAGGTGCCCTAACCACCTTGGATACATGTACAATGTTCCTGAATAAGTTGTTTTTTTTGGGGGGGGGACAAACAAAATAAAGTTTTGATCAAAAATATTTTTTCCCTTGATATTTATTACATTCAAAGGACTTTTACTAAACGACGAAACAAATGCTACACATGTACTATACCCACATGAATAAATAAAAATAGCTCTAGTCAAAATTACATCACGTATATTAAAATGGGTTTCAATAGGGCAAATAACAAAAGCCTGCACTTAGACTTGTTTTTAAAGTAAGTTTAAAGAGTACAAGGAAAACTACATGAGTATATAGAAAATACAACACTGCCTGGAGAGCGAACTGCCTTGGTGGAGGTTTGCACCCTCAGAGTGCTTCTTGTTTACACCTGTGACAGTGATAAAAACACCTGAATTCAAAGATTTAAAGGAGTCTTCCAATACTATG